GTAGGCGGAGGGTGCTAATGTAAAACCGTTGTGCCAGAAATACAGAGCAAAACAGGTTTTTCAGTATCTTCCCTGCTGCCTTATTTGGCTCTCGTGTTTTGTTTAGCTTGGACAAAAGATTTCGCTTGTGGGTTGCTTTTGTCTATGGCTTTTATCACCCTTTGGTTCTCACGTCCTCGCTCAGTGTGCGCTGGCTGGCAAATAGTACCTGCTGTTTGTCTGCTTCTCCTGAGCTGTCCTCGTTCATCAGCACGCTGTTCCTAACCTCTTGCAAGGACCGCCCTTACAAAGTGCAGTGTGAGTTGCTCTGTGTGTCGTGTTAAATATTTCATCGTCGTTTGATTTACTGAGCAAGGAAGTAAACTTCTTTGCTGCCTTCACATCACAGAAACAAATGCTAAAACCCAGACTGAAGCTGAGCAAGTAGAAATGTTTTAACACCCAAGTAATGTACGCCAAGTGTTACGGGTAAGACTAGCACAACGAAGCACGTCAGCAGACGCCAAAAGGTCGATTAAAAGAACGTGGGACGTTCGTGCAATTAGACTGAATTACTTTAAAGGTAGCACCAGGTTATGAAACTCGCTTAAAATGCACCAGGCAAACTCTGTGGGAGCAAACCGCTGTCGTGCTGGTGGACAACGTGGGTTAAACCCTCTCTCCGGGTCTTTTCCAGCCCATTGGAGCTCTGCTGCTGGAGCACTGCAGGATCACCAAGGAGGAGGAGAACGTCTTCTCAATCAGTGAGTTCTGCCTGTGCATTCTCTTTGCGTTTCCCTGATGGCAAATAGAGCTACGTAAAAGGAAATGTTTTGCTGCTTAGTTCCTGCTTTTCCCTCTGCTTCTCCGGTAACGGTGGGGTTAGTGCTCCTCAGCCCTTCTTGTCAGCTGCCAGTTGTTGCTCTGGCATTGCTGTGCCCCCTCCCGAGGGCAGTGGTATTTCATTGCTGGCCAAAACAGTCTGTGTGATTTGCACAGCTGCACGTGAGGGGAGAAGCGGTAACAACAGACGGACCACGGCTTAGTGCTTGTGGAAATCCCTCCCTAGGAGGGTTTGGTATTGACAGATTCCTGCTTCTGTGCTATTGCATTTTATCAAAAAAAGTGAGCCTCAGATAAATCATCGGTCGGGCTAATCTAGCGCCAGTCCTCCCGCCACGCTGTTCGTCCTTGTGTTGATAGCCGTGGCTCCAGCTGGCTCGTGGTGTGTCGTCCTTTGTAAGCAGCCTTTCATCCAACAACTAATCATTGTGCGAGAGGTATGTGGCGAAAATAACAGGATGTTTCTCCAAGGCCATCCCCATATCTTTTGGCCTGGGTGTCGGGCACAGCTGCTTTTCTGTGCAGAGCCTTGTCTCCTCTTTTAGCCGGGAGAGGTGGTGTTCTCGCTGTCTCCAAAGGACCCTCAAAACAGCCTGAACATACCGATCTCTCATAAGCACCACGCTCTGAATTTCTGGGGCTTTAGGACTGTCGGGAGCTCTGGCAGATGAGGAGTCCCGAGAAAAGTGTTAAAACCGATGGCAGCTGGTGTCAGGTTGTGTCCCCACACAGCAGCCCTGAGGGGTTTGATGGAGTCTGACCCAGTTATTTCTCAGCAGCAGCCTAGATCTCTGCGGACTGTACTAAAGAGCACAGCTCTGGGGACAGTGGAATTAATTAGCTGTCCTGATTCTGTCTCAGTAAAGAACTGGAGTTATGTGGGGACTTGCTTTCCACTGTGCACAGTACCAAATTCCCAAAAGCCTTGAGCAAAGGCAGGTCAGTACCTTCTCCGAGTATGATTTAATTCCTCTGCATATATCAAGATCCCTTCCTCGAGGCCAGTTTCCACTTTGATTGCTAAATCTCTGGTGACTGTTTGCGAGGAGGCTCAGGGAGTGTCGGTTCTGAATCTGTCCATGCTGGTCCGGTTCAGTTCCGAGCTGTCGCCCTCAGTTTGAGAAGTTGCTCTTTCCTCTCCGAAGTCTTTGGCAGCTCTGCCAGGACCCCCCTTAAACCTTTTCCTTATCCTGGGCAGGTTTCATTGAGGAGCCAGAGAGGAAATACTGCTTCGAATGTGACAGCGAAGAGCAGTGTCAGGAATGGATCGAGGCACTCAAGCGAGCCAGGTAGGCTGAGCCACTAGTGCGAGGTCTGCGTCGTGCGCTCTGTGCCATTTATTTTCTGGGATCAGCTTGTAGTGAACCCAGGGAGGAAAGCGATCGTCTCTTCCCATGCAAGCTTCCCTTCAGCTCTAAATAGCATCTGAAACTTCTTCACATCCTTTTCTGCTCAGCCTGCCGCATGGTCTGTTCTTGTCTTACAGCTATGAGTTCATGAGGAGGAGCTTGATTTTCTACCGGAATGAGATCCAGAAAATGACAGGGAAGGTGAGTCCCTTGAAGTTGTCTTGTCAGGTCGTGACCGATGGGTTTGGACTGGAGCAGGGGCTGGTAATCTCGGGTGTTGCCGCTGACTGTCCTGCACAAGGCCATTTGCTGCCGCGTGTACAAAAGAGATCCCGTAGTAAGCCAGCTCCTGAAGCCATGGTCTCAGCAGCCAGACCCGAGGGTCTTCCTCTGCCGAGCAGCCTGCGTTGTTGTGCTCAGCTCCGGCTCTCGTATGCACGATGGAGTGGTCCGAGGTTTGTAGCCAGACAGGTCTGGCCTGGGCTAGCCCGGACTCCCACCGGTTCTCTGGAGGAGCTTGCAGGCAGCCCTGGGCAGATCAGAGCGTATGTGGGTCGAGATGCTGCTCACACCTCTGCCGGGCTCCTCGCAGCGTCCCTGCTCGAGGTGATGGGGGTGGCTGCGGCTCACCCGCGCGCTCCTGTGCCAGAGTGGACCGAGTGCAGCCCATGAACCTTGGTTACCTGCTGCGTTACCACTGCTTGACTTTCTGCACCAGAAACACCAGCCGGGGGCTGGAGTGGGACAGATCCAGCACACGACTGGAATCGGCGCCCAGCCCGGCTCCGGACTGCAGGCTGGTTGAGGGGTGGTCCTGCTGGCCTCCCCCATTGTCTGCGCCTCACTGGTGCCTTCCCTGTGCTCTTGCTGCAGGACCCCCTGGAGCAGTATGGGATCTCCGAGGAAGCCCGCTTCCAGCTGGGAACACGCAAGCAATAATCCCCTCGCCTGGGCTGAACTGGTTCCTGGGCCCGGGCTCACCCCGGAGCGTCACCCCCAACCCCCCCCCCCCGGAAGAACAGCAGCAGCTCCCCACAGCAGCGACCAAGTGACTTTTTAATTTATTAGCCAAATAATTTTGTATGATTTATGTTTTTTTTAAAGGGAACTCATTGCACATTCCCACTTGCCCCAGCTGTGGAGGCAGCCAGTCTTAACTGCTCCCTGCAGACCGTGCCCTTGAGCTGACACGGCCCCACTGCAGCGGGGGGAGCGAAACCACGCTGGCTCCTGGCGAGAGCAGAGGCCGCAGGGGCTGAACAGAGCTCGCAGCGCCTGCTGCCCGTCCGTGCAGGCTCGCAGCTTCTGGGACAGGCCCCGAGCCAGCCCCGTCCCTCTCCTGCACGGAGCTGCTAGGCTTTTGTAGCTCAGGATCTTCCTGCAGTCTCCCAGGGAGCCATCGAGGGTTCTTCATCCCCTTGCTGTAAGAGGATGGATTGCATTTCTGTGCTTGCAGGGTTAACCCTGTCATGCCCTCCCCTGTTCGCTGCAAAGCCATTTCAGTGGCTGAGAGCTGCTAGCAGAGCCCGAGGGCCAGGCTGTTGAGCAAGGAGGAGTGGGAGGCCTTCCAGTAAGAGGGGGAGCGCTGGGCCACGGCTCCAGCTGCCAGGGAAGGGCATCCACTCCCCTGTG